CTGTGTGGGGCGTTTTCAGAGGGCTTGGAATGCTGCTGGGGTCGGGGGAGGTGGGGGCTCTGGCTGTGTCCAGCACCCAATGTCTCACCAGGGGCCGACTTGAGGTTGGAGGGAAGAAAGTGGAGGGCACCTGCTTCCCCCAGGAAGCCTGCAGTTGTCCTGGGGAGCATTAAAGAAGAGTCTGCTCTGACTAGGGTGCAGGGACATACCACTGCGGGTGCACATGTTACTTGCAGGGGGACAGGGTGGGGGAAGCTTACATAGCTGCCTGTTTTGGGGGCAGAAGGAGAGGTGTCGATACGGTTAATTATGTGTCGATCCGACTGGGCCACAGGGTCCCCAGATGTTTGCTTAGTGATCTGGGCGTGCCTAGATGAGATGAACATTTAGCTCATGGACAGGGCAGAGCAGGGGGCCCCCGCCCAGAGTGGGTGGTCTTGTCCAATCAGTCGAAGGCCCGCCAAGCTCAGGGAGGCTGACCGTCCCTCAGGTAAGGGGCAGTCCATCCTGCCTGGCTGCCTGTGACTGGGATGGTGACCTTTCCTCTCCTTCGAACTTGAACTGAAACACTGGCTTTCCTGACTGCAGTTGGAGGGACTTCTCTGCCTCCAAAGTTAAGCCAGCTCCTTATTACAAATCTCTTTAAATATATGTCTCCACCCATCGCATTGGTTCTGTTTCTCTGGGAAACCTTAATACAGGTAACAAACTCTGGGCTCCGAGTCAGAGCCGAGGATTACTCTAGTGGAAATGTAGGGTCTGGGGTGCAGGAGGTGACTCCCCCCAGCTTCCTCCCAGGTCCACGACAGGAGGAGACGTGCCTGGTTCCCAAACTGGACTGTGAGAGACACCAGCTAACGGAGGCCTGCCCCTGATGGAGCTGGGGTGGGGTGACAGGCGGGGACAGGCGTTTGGAGGTCGTCCAAGCAAACTTCCGGGAGAGGCTGTCCCTGGACTCCAAGGGCTGCGATGAGGAGAAGGGCTGGTCTGAGACGGCCCTGGGGTGGGCGGACCTCCACCCCGTGTAAGGGGGGCTCATGGCTCCCAGGCAGTGCTGGGAGGGAGGGAGGAGCCCCATCTCAGGAAAGGGGGTGAGCAGAGAGCCTGTTACTGGGGGACACGTGGTGAGGGGCCCCTAGAGGGGTCCTTCCCAGGCCTCCGTGGTCACTTTGGGACCCCAGAAACAGGCAGAGCCGGGCTCAGCAAAGCCTTGCATGGGCAGACCCAGCCTCTGGAGGTCCGGGTCCCAAGGGACAGGGCCTCCCTGCCCCAGGCGGCTGACGACTGCTGGCCCAGCAGGATGCGGTCCTGGCCTGTCTCGTAAATCTCGCCATTTACAGCTATTGACGGCGGCGTGCTCGGGGCAGCCCTGCGTGATGAATTGGCAGAACACCGACCATGCTGTCCGACAAGCGATTGTTGCAGCGAAAATGAGAAATAACGATCAGGGCCAGAAGCAGATTATTAAGAAAGACTTCCAGCAACTTCGCAGACTGTCTTAGCTGCTGTAATAATCAGGGCCTCACCAAGAGACACGTGCTTCCGGTGGCAATATTTTTCCCCCGACAAGACGGGCCAGCCATCCGTGCGGTTTACATGGACATGCCGGTGGAGGGGCGGGAGCTGGGCAGGGGCCCCGGCCAGGCGTTGGCGGGATTCTTCCTGACCACGCTCACAGCCCAAGCGTGTTGGCAGGGTGCACGCCGCAGGGGCTCACAGTGTTCGGCTTCTGGGGGAGCCCCTGAACCCCTGTGGGCTTGGAGAAGTGGGGCCATCTGTGTGGTCGAGCCCTGGGAGAGGAGGTCATTCCTAGAGCTGGCGTCCACTTGCCCTGGGGCCCCCAGGCCCAGCATTTTCTGTCTTCTCTCTTTTACTAAGATGGAAAGAGAGCAGGCGTCAGTGGGGTGAAGCCTCTGGATCCCAGGCTGCAGACAGACAGCAATGGCGGGGCTGTGGTCGGGGCGGGGGCGGCCTGCTGGCCCCTGGGGAGGCCATGTGGGGATGGGCTAACGGGGCAGAGAATCTGGACCAAGCGAGCGAATGAGTGAATATAAGAAGGAGCCATCTGGACTAAATGAGTGAATATGTGCCGGAAGGGGTCGGGGAGAGATCCCCAGACTCATGGCCAGCCCCCCATCCTCCCCATGCTCCCGGAGCCCCAGGGAGGGTTGAGCCCGCAGCTGCGGGTCCTGCCAGGGAAGCTTGATGCTTGAGAACCTCCTGCTGTTGAAGGGCTCCGAGGCCAGGGGGGGGGGTCTGCAGGAGAGGCCTGGGCAGTGGTCCCCCGGTGACCCCTGGGCTGAGGCAGGAGCACAGAGGGGTCACAGCAGCCCTGGCTCCGGGCCGCTCAGGCCTGGGGACTGAGACATGGCCAGGGGAGGGTTAAAGCAGCAGCAAGCAGGCTCGTCCAGCCCTGTTAAGAAAATGATGATCTGCCGCTTGACGTCATTTTAATTCCATTTCAAGGGCATTTAATCTCGTTTGCCGATGACTGATCCCTGGCTGCCGATGGATGAGCTCACGGCCCCTCCTCCGAGGGGAAGCGGACCCTTGCAGCGGAGACGTGGCGCCATCGCGTCCTGCTGTGCCCCGAGTGGGCGGGGGCGGCGAGGAGGACCTGACCCGCGGCCTGGCCTCTGCTCAGCCCTTGGAAGCTTCCAGAAGGGTGCTGGCCGGCCGTTTCTCCCCGGCCTCGCCCTGGTGGCTGGAAGGTGCTCGTTCCTCAGGTTCAGGGTCGAGTGTTGACAGTGCCAGTGAGCAGGGCACTGCCCTTGCAGGAGAGGGCGGGGACAGCCCTCCAGACAGGGCTGCTTTGTTTTGGGGAAACCATCACAGGGCCTGAGGTCTCTCCCTCCGCCCGGGCCTTCCCAGAGGCAGAGGCAGGCAGGTCACAGCGCCGGGAGGCCCCAGGCCCAGGGAGCAGTGTGGGGGACGTGGCCTCCGGGAACCTCACCCTGTTCCCTCTGCATCTGGGGTTTTCCTCCTGCTGGTCACTCCACACATCACAGAAGCTGCTTCAGATTGCTCTAACGGCTCCCCCTGGCCGGGACATAACTGAGCTTTGGAGGCCTGAGCCGGGGCTGTTCCCAAGCTTACAGGTGGTGGCATCCACGTGAGGACCACAGGCCCCGCAGTGCAGGGCCCGGGCTCCCCATGTGGTCTGGCAGAGGCCACGGCCCCGGCGCCCAGCCCAGGCCTTGCTCCCACCCGGATGAGCCTCTTGCGACCTGGCATCTGGGGGTGTGAGTGGGGGGCACGGCATTCGACCTGGGGACTGAAGGACAGTGTGGTTCCCCAGACTGGAGATGCTGGGACGTTGGGTTATGCTGAGAATGATGGACTGTAAGATTTCAGACCCCAAAGCATGGCCGATGTGGATGGCATGGGGCTGACCTCCAGCCTCTGGGCACCCTGCTGATGCCCCAGGCTGGGCACAATGGCCCCTTCCTTGTCATCAGCTCAGGGATGTGAGGCCTGAACCAGTTTGCTTGGATGCCTGGGAGAGTGGCACCGCGGGGCTCGCCCTCAGGCGGTGGGCTGTGCGGGGCCTGGGAGCTCATGCCTCACGGCTGCTGTGGCCAAGGTCCACTCAGAGCGGCTCCCGTCGGAGGCTGATGCCAGTCCTGAAAATGCTTATCCATCTGTCCATGTGCCTATCCACCCACCCACTAGCTCTTCCTCCCATCCTCCCATCCATCCATCCATCCATCCATCCATCCATCCATTCATCCATCCATCCATCCATCCAACATTTATTTGGATCCTGCCACATTCTGAGCAGCATCTGTAGCACCCTGGGCTGTGACAGAGGGTAGTTTAGGGGTGGGCATGGGGTGGGCTGTGGCAGCTCCGAGGAGGGCCCTGGACCCAGAGAGCTAATAGTGATATTCTTTTCAAATAAATCCAATCATGAAATGTGTCATTTACCTGACATGCCAATTTTTTATGACTTTTCAGGTGAGTCAGATTTACAAAGTAAAAGATAATCCTCTGCCAGAATCTTTGAGTCTGGAAAGTAGAGACTGTGCAGCTCTAGGAATTTCTTAAAAGGTTCTTTGGAAGTTCTGACAACCAGAACTGGGTCCCCAGAGATGGTCGGAAACAAGAGTGATGGGAACTCCATACTCACAAGAATAAAAAAATAAACAAACACAAAAACGTTGTGAATTAGTATAGCTGTCGTGGTCCCAGAGGTGTGCTATGCCAAATAAGAGAGTACAGAGCAGAGTGCTGTTCTGCCTTCCTCACTCAGCCCACCTTTCAGCTGTGTGACTTTGGGCACGTGACTTGACCTCTCAGAGCCTCAGCTGTCTTTGTGGCAAAGGGGGATGCTAATTCTAGCTTGCAGGTGGCCAAGCCCAGTAGGTGCTTCTACAGTGTAGCCGTGAGAGGCCCTCAGTCACCTGCTCCCTACGCTGCGGTCGCTCCTCCGGAAGGTGTCCCAGGAGACCCACCATCCCTCAGGGGGCCCCGGGTCCTGGGCCTGGGCTGGACCCCCATGCGGAAGGGCGGGGGGGGGTTCAGGCCAGGAGCTGGCTCCCTCCTTATTGGATTATCTCATTTGCAAACAATAAATGTCAACACCAGGAGACCTTGTCAGACTTCCCTTCCAGGATGCAAATGTAGCCTTTATCTGCCTGTGCCCTTTATTAAAACAACCACCGTGCCACGGCGGATAAACAAGACAATTAAATGTAAATGAGGTCATCTCCCTCCTCCCATCGCATTCAGGAGGCGCCCAGGCCCTGGCCAGGCGCTGGCGGGAAGCCGGAAGAGGCCGAATCCGATTACAACTCAACCGAGAGGCCAGGGTGACCTTTCGCTTTTAACGACTGACCCAGCGCCCGAGCGGGTGTGACAGCTGGGACCAGCCCGCTCTGATTTTTACTGCGATTGCATTTAAAGAGTGAAGATTTACTGTCTCCCTGTAATGAGCCAGTGCTGACTGCACCGTGAAGAACCCCGCGTGCCTGGCGGCCCGGGGTCCCCTCGCCCTCTGCTCAGCGCTGGCGCGTCTGCAGGCCTTGACGGGTGCCCCCCGTGGCGGGGGCCCAGCGAGGCGCCACTGGTGCCCCACAGGCAGGAGGGACGCTGAAGGCCGTGGGCAGGACCGAGGGAGGGCGGGGTCCCCGGAGGAAGGGCCGGGAGGGAGCGCGGAGCCGAGGTGCCTCCTGAGGCCCTGCGGGGCCGAGAGAACCGGCGGCTACCTCCCAGGCGGGAGGACCGAGGCCATTGACGTCACTACGTGGGGGGGAAGTACAGCCCCCCCACCCTGAGTCACTGCTGGGCCGGGGAGAGACCACCGCCCCTTCTGCCACTGCTGCCACTACGGCCACTGCTATTCCTAGCCCGAGCACCCGGGGAGGTCTGAGCCCGCCCGCTGGGGGCGAGGGGAGTGCGTGCACGTGGGCGTGCGCCTGGCTGTGCCCTGAGCGGGGTGCGTGCTCGTGCCGGCTGCGGAGCCCCGGCCTGCGCACTCCCCCGCCTCCAGCGCGCTCACCCCGAGCCCCGGTGAAGCTTTAGCGCCGGGGACAGAGCACTCTCTCTATGAAGCTGCTTCTGGCTTTAGTAGGACAAAGAGGAGCCCAGTGAGGGCAGGCGATGGCAGGTCCCCGGGGGGTGGGGGCTGACCACAGGCATCCTGATCTCACTCCCTGCCTCCCTCTTCCGACTCTGTCCCAATCGAGAGCCGTCGCCTGGCCGATCGCCCAGGCCCAGGACAAGCCCTTGTTAGCAGACTGGTGCTCCGGACGCAGATGCCCAGGCTCCAACCCTGGCTCCGTGTCGGGCCAGCTGTGTGACGTCAGGCACGTTCCTTAACCTCTCTGAGCTTCCGTTTAGGCGTCTGTAAAGTGAGGACTGTGCCAGGCCCTCAGGAGCTTGGTTCCAGGGTGTGTGCGCTACAGCTCAGGACAGGGCCAGCTGGCACGCGGCAAGGGCTCACATTTCTATTACATTACAGCAGACAAATGGACCAGGATTTCAGTAACTGACGTTAAATATGCAGTCAATTAAGCCTTACCAGAGCTCCAGAAACACTCCAGCAGCACCGGGGAGAAGCAGTTACATGTACCGTCAGGTGCTGCTAAGGGGGAAGCGGAAGCTTGGCTTTCTGGAACGTCCTGTGCCCCCCTCCGCCACCCCGGGAGCCCAGCCGCTTGCTTTCCCACTGCCATGGCCCAGTGGTCACGTTGCTGGTCAGATCGTGAGCCCCTCAGGCTGGCTGTGCTTCATCCCATCCCTGGCCCCCGACGGCCAACGGCCAGCCCCGGCTAGCCCCAGCTCGGCCCGAGGGGCCAGGAGGGTGGGCAGGTGGGGCCAGGCTGTGTGGGGCAAGGCTGCAGGACGTACAGGGGGTGTCCCTGCCAGACCCCGGCTGGTGAGTGCTGGGCTGGGAGAGCCCAAGGGACAGGGGAGCGTCCCGCTGGCCCAGGACCGGGCAGGGGAGCAGGACCTCTGAGCCCCGGCTCCGTGGGCTGTCTGCCTCCCTGGGGGTACGTGCCCTTCTGCAGCTTTGCTGCTCGGAGACCAACACTGATTTGCAGGAACGCAATTTCACATCAACCTTCTGGCTGTAGCTCTAGACTGCAAGCCCAGCCCAGCACAGGCCAGGTGGACGCCAGTCACCCTGCCCTGCACAGCTGTGCCCCGAGCTGGGAGAGCGTGTGGTCCAAATACCTTTCAGGGACTAAAGTGTGGCCGGGGGACCTTCTCAGAGACTCTCCCCTGGAGGATCGGTCTCTGAGAGCGGCCACAAAGCAGGGCCGCAGGCCAGTGGGCTTACACACAGAAGCTGTTCTCCGGGGTCTGCAGTGGGGCGCATAGTCAGGGTGTCATGGGGCTGGCCCTTCTGAAGGCCTGAGGGGGAGTCTGTGCCCCTTTCCCAGCCCCTTGTGGCAGCCTCAGGGACCCCCGGGGGTGTGGGTCCACAGTCAGGTTTCTGCCTGTCTCCACGAGGCTCTCCCTGTCTGGATCCAGATTTACCCTTCTTACAAGGACACGGCCATCCTGGATATGCGCCCACTCTAATGACATCATTTTAACTCAATCACCTCTTCTCCAGATACAGTCACCTAACAGTGTATTAAAAAGCAGAGGCATCACTTTGCCAACAAAGGTCCCTATAGCCAAAGCTATGGTTTTTCCAATTCGGTTCAGTCGCTCTGTCATGTCTGGCTTTGCGACCCCATGGACTGCAGCATGCCAGGCCTCCCTGTCCATCACCAGCTCCCGGAGTTTACTCAAATTCATGTCCATCAAGTCAGTGATGCCATCCAACCATCTCATCCTCCGTCGTCCCCTTCTCCTCCCGCCTTCAATCTTTCCCAGCATCAGGGTCTTTCCCAATGAGTCAGTTTTTCGCATAAGGTGGCCAAAGTATTGGAGTTTCAGCTTCATCATCGATTCTTCCAAAGAATATTCAGGACTTATTTCCTTTAGGATGGACTGGTTGGATATCCTTGCTGTCCAAGGAAGTCTCAAGAGTCTTCTCCAACACCATAGTTCAAAAGCATCAATTCTTTGGCGTTTAGCCTTCTTGTTTGTCCAACTCTCATATCCATACATGACCACTGGGAAAACCATAGCTTTGATTATGCAGACCTTTGTCAGTAAAGTAATGTCTCTGCTTTTAAATAAGCTGTCTAGGTTGGTCATACTTTTCTTCCAAGGAGAAAGTGTCTTTTAATTTTATGGCTGCAGTGATTTTGGAGCCCAAGAAAATAAAGTCTTGTCACTGTTTCCACTGTTTGCCCATCTATCATACAGATGTGAGAGTTGGACCATAAAGAAGGCTGAGCACTGAAAAATTGATACTTTCGAACTGTGATGTTGGAGAAGAGTCTTGAGAGTCTCTTGGACTGTCAGGAGACCAAACCTGTCAATCCCCCTGAATACCCATTGGAAGGACTGATTGTGAAACTGAAGCTCCAGTACTTTGGCCACCTGATGCAAAGAGCGGACTCACTGGGAAAGACCCTGATGCTGGGAAAGATTGAAGGCGGGAGGAGAAGGGGACGACGGAGGATGAGATGGTTGGATGGCATCACTGACTTGATGGACATGAATTTGAGTAAACTCCGGGAGCTGGTGATGGACAGGGAGGCCTGGCATGCTGCAGTCCATGGGGTCACAAAGAGTCGGACGTAACTCAGTGACTGAACAATAATAACTGTGGCCGCAGCAGCAGGGGGTGAAGGAGCCCAGGGTTCCCGTGCTTTGGGGCCTCGTGGTGCCGAGGTCACCGTGGCCCACCCCGCCTCTGACGGTGCTGTCAGGCCCTGCCTGGACTGGATCCCTAGCACCTGAGAAGCCAGCGCCGCAGCCCCTCCTCAGCCCTGCCCGCCGTCCCCTGCCCCCACCCCTCCTTTTAAGTTCCGTCCGTCCCGGTGCTTCAGCTGGAGTCACCACTCAGGCGTCATCGGCCACTGATGATGCAGGGTCTCCCCTGCCGCGGTCTGGCCGTGAACGCTGCAGGCGTGTGCCGGGGTCGTGAGTGTGAGGCCACCTTCATGCTAACTGTCACGAGCGTCAGTTCCTGAGCTCCAGGCCGGCTCCCTGCTCCATGGATCCTGGGGCTCCAAGCTCGTTTGTACCCCCCCGAGCCCCACCCAAGCTCCTGGCCTTCCCTGCCCCACAGCCCGGCCCCCAGTGCGAATCCGGGACCAGAAGAGGGGCCGAGGGTGTGGACGGGAGGAGGTTTCTGTGTGAGGCAGGTGATGAGTGCAGAGGCTCAGGGCTGGGGTGTCAGCAGTGCAAGGGCCGCTCCGGGGAGACTGGGGAGACCCCAGCCCGCCCCGCGCCCAGACACTTAGCCTTCATCCTCTGTGGCTAGCTGGCGCCTCCGGCCGCCGTGGGGGACACTTCCGTAAGGTTTGTGACTGCCCGCGCCGGCCCTTGCATGGGCAGAGCTGCTGCAGACCGCCAGCTGCTCTCCAGGTTTTGTCGCCTGGAGGCCGGTCTCAGTTGGCCAGCTGTGTGCAGCGGCCCCGAGACTTGTTCCCAGAAGCAGAGCAGGGGCTTCGGACCCGTCCCCTCAGCTCAGGGCGCTGCTGTGGGGCCGGGCCAGCCAGGGGACGGCACCGGCTCCCATGCCTCTCGTCCACGCCCCTTCTGATAGAAGGCAGGGCATGCGCTCGGTGCCTTAGGATGGAGCGTCGCTGGGGGCCTGGGTTTCCACACCTGGGTTGGTGGGGACCTCCGGGGCTTTCAGCATGGCGGTGCTGTGGGCAGGATGCGGGCCTCAGCTCTGGTCTAATGTGGGTGCTCCTGACGCGGGAAGACTGAGTGCCTGGCCCCTTGGATGTGACACCCAGAACAGTCCAGTCCGTGCTGGTGGAGACCCCTATGAGGGGGAAGGTGCTGGAAGCACTGGTAGGGAGATGCGTGTGGGAGGGACAGGGGGAGGCCAAGCAAAGGAACGGCCCCCAGGGGTCCCGGGGTGCAGACTGGCCAACGAAAGGCCAAGTTGCTGGAAGATGGGCATCCATGTCCCCTAAGGCTCCTGGCAACCCGGCGGAGCCCCAACAAGGGTGCCGGCCACTGGGGAGTGCGTCAGGCTGGGGGGAGGAGGTGAGGCTGACCCCACCAGGCAAGGGGTCACCAGCAGGGCAGGGCTGTGGGGTCTGGGGGGGAGTGGGCCTGGGGGCTTCTCAGTCTGCTCCTCTCTGAAATGGGGCCGTGACCAGGGTGTCTGAGCAGGGCCAGAACGAGATGAATGGGTGGGAGTTACAGCCGTCGTGAGCAGATGGATGCCCCTGCAGGGGGCGTGAGGGGTCTGGGGCAGTGCGGGGGGTCAAAGCTGGAACCCCACCCCTGTATGGGGAGGGTGGGGCGGGGGGCCGCCCTCTGCACCCGGAGGCCTCACACTGGGTGGTCCCTGGACATGGGCCCTGGTGGACCCCTGGCCCAGCACCTCAGGTTTCCACTCCGGCCCCTCCCTGGCTTCCTGGCCGCACCGCCTGCCTCCGCCCGCCCTTCCGCTGGCCTATCGGGGCTGGACCTGTTTATCCAGCTGGGCCAGAGGAAGCAGCTCCTCCGAGACCAGACAGGAGCGGCCGGTAGTCAGGGTGGAAACTGGAAATTACCCAAATGAGGGGACGGCCTGGGGGAAACATAGGCGTGAGGGCGGAGCGGATGGATCCCGGGCACTTCCGGCAGCCGCTGGCACTGCCCTGGGACACGGGGCCAACAGGTGTGGTCATCAACAAATGCACCTCCCACCTTGACCCAGGCCAACCTCTCTGCAGCGCTGGGAGCCACGTGCACTCCTGTGGGACCCAGCGTGGGTGGGAGGTGGGATAGGTGGGTGGGGCTGCGTGCAGCCCCAGAGGGTGAGGACCTGACCCCACTGGGCATTGTGAGGGTGGACATTTGCCAGGGTCTTGGCGGATGAGCAAGAGTTTGCCACTTGCGTGGGACAGCCACTTTGGGGTGGCACTGTCCTGAGCAGAGACCCCCTAAAGGAGGGATCCAGGGTTGACGGGGATATGGTCTGGGGCTCAGGACAAGTCTCAGAT